AATGGTGTATTTAAATATAAAGAATGGTTGGATTAGGGATTGCAGAGTGTAAGTTTCTGAAAAACTATGGTTCTTTTAGAGCTCTCTAAAGCTCACTATTTTGCTTAGTTACATCTTGAATCCAAACTAATTAGTTCATCATGACGAGAGGAATTTTCTTATGAGAATGCTATGTGAAAGTAGTTTACTTGTGCTTTTAGAGAGAAACTGAGACGAGATAAGTGCAAGTGTTTCAATGATTATTTTCTCGACAGACACAAGTTTTTCAGTAATCTCGATTTCATGCTTCATATTTTCGGCTTTTAGATTCAACATTTTCACTTAGTCTAGAATTCATCTTTGTCTAGCTTCTAGCGATATCTATAGACATTTTAATCATCTTTCTTTGATTATTGAGTTAAATATTCAATGAATTTTAATTTTTAATTTTTATTATTTTGAAACAATGTGACTTTTCGTCGTTATAAACAACTTCTTCAGACAAAAATAAAATAGATTTACAATACACTAAATAACCCATGCATTTATAACTTACTGTAGATTTTACAATAGAGTAAGTAGAGAAAAAAACAGACGGTCATTTTTATTTTTCTTAACTTTAATAAGGGTACAGAACGAACCAGTAAAAGTGGTAGACTGGACTGATAAATTATTTCCGTATCACTATTAAAGTTAAGAAAAAAGGAAAAAAAAAAGAAAACGAAAAAGAAAAATAACCGTCTGTTGTTTTGTTTACTTACTCTATTATAAGATGTACAGTAAGTTAAAACTGTATAGTTTCTTTAGTGCATTGTAAATCTATTCTATTTTTGTCTGGAGAAGTTGCCTACAACAACGAAAAGTCACATTATTTTAAAATAATAAAAGTTAGAAATTAAATGCATTAAGTATTCAACTAAATAATCAAAGAAAGATAATTAAAATGGCTACTAAGTCGTCAACCTTTCTCACAAGAAAAGAATTCTAGTAAAATTAGAATGAAAATTAGATATTATCCTCCACGGTAAAAAGACGCGTTCAGGATTGGACACAAGTGTTGCAGTAATTGTTTGAGCGACTGTCTGTGCGTAAAGATGGAGTCTTGAAAGGTAGATGTTCAATGTCGAGCCTATGACTCCTGATGTTTCGTTACACGAAAGTTTCGCATGCTACTTCAAGTACTGTTAGTTAGACATTTGAATTTTTCGATGTAAAAGCAACAAAAGTCCTAAGTGTTCCATGCGCGTACAGAAGGAAAAGAAATACGTTTTTGCGTTCTACTCATAGTTTAATTGGTGTGTAGCTTTTTTACGAACTGAGTCATAATTCTTTCTTTAGTTTGTTTGCTGGTCTTATACAACGTTGGGGTTGTAGTGTGTGGTCAAATTGTGAAAGCACACAATGAAATAATCTTTCATAGTGCTGTTACGGACAGAACATTTGGAAATCATCCCACTACATCATGAAAATTATTTGACTCTACAGGTTACACATGTTTTATTAACAGATGGGTTTGAATCGGCACTGTATCGTTTCTTTACAAGTAACACAAAAATGCTTGCACTACACGTAATCGATAATGCAATACCCCTTCGTTAATGGTTACTTCTCCGCAATGCCATAGCAGCACTTTAGTCGCTGAGCATTTGCGATGTAAAGAACTAATAGCCCTTACATTACTAGGTAATTTAATTTGTTAAGCCGTAGCGTTATTTTATTTACTAGAGTAAAGACATGATAGAAAAACAACGTCGTGCCTATGATAGATTGCTACATAACTAGTATATTGAGTATAAGTGAGAGTACATAATAGTTAAATAAAATGGCGAAGCTTCCTTGCTCTTGCGTTACGAATTTCAAGCTTCTCGACTTACTCCCCTCCTCACATCTTCCATGCTAACCATCTTCGATAAAAGTAGAACATGATAAAAGTATTGATCTGTTCATGATGAGGCCAATATAGATCCGTGAATCTCACGAAGATAAAAAATGTTCACTCGAGTTGAGAAGTTGGAGAAAAAGAATGACAGAGATACGTCAAACAGAATCAGGTGACAAACAATGGCGAGCAGTGTCTCGCTTAGTCGCGTAGTTGTAAATTTTTAATATATACATCAGCATCAAAAGAGAAAAGAAAAAAAGAAAGAATTATATTCGTTCCTTTTTCTCATTTGTTTTCGATCGACAGCAGCTGTAGGCACCTACGTCAAGCCCTTTGCCTGAAAATGTTGACTGTCATATCTTCTGCTCTATCACACCCGTTTAGCCTTTTTTTATCAAGCAAATGTAAATTCGAGCATACTTTCGTTTGTGTGTTCTTTCTACACGATAAAAAACCAATGCAAGAGCACTTAAAAAGCTAAAAGAGAAAGCGCACAGAGAACGCATTAAGTGGCAGAGGAAGTATATTTTGTCAACAATATAGCATACTTTTCAACTATTCTTTTCTATGCTTCACATTTCGAACAGTTAATACTTGTTGATACCCTCATTGATATCAAATAAATACCATCGCAATATGGTATGAAATTCTATTAAAGTTTCAAGAATTTCAAATACTTCAAATATATTCATGTGAGAAACAATAAAAATGTACATAACTTCGACCCCGGCATAGTCGCATATACTGTGTAATAAGCAATGCCTCAACGAAAAAAATTCTGCGGACAAACATCAGTCTGGCCTTGTATGTTAGATGACGGGGAACTTTTCAATAAAGCTGTTGCACGAAACTGATTTACTACAAGTAAATGAAAGTTTAAAACTGTAGATACAAATATTGTACATACACTGTTAGTAAATCATCACATGAAGAATAAAACGATAATACGGCGGGTAGGTGAAAAAAAGACACACTTCCGAGTTATTTTTGTCTTCATCAACTATACTCTTCTCTATACGCTTAACGTGATTCGTCGGCGATGAAAGAAATAAGAAACAGAAAGAAAACTATTCCATGAAAATTTTATGATTGGCCCGTTTCTTTCCACCAATATATGACTTAAAGAAAAAGAGAAAAAAATGGAATAGGTTGATGTTGCAAGTTATTTTAAATAGTATCCTTGTAAATAGGGTTTATGTGACGATCAACTACACAAAAATGATGAGTCAATTTCTTATTAATAATAAACAAGTATCTTAAGTTGTTCTAAAGCTTTCATATAAAAATATTGAAATACTGACGTAGATTCTGTAGAGAGTACGCATTCAAAAGATTTTCAGACGCTCATTGATATTATCTAACCACATGTCTATAACCTACCGGATTCTCCTGTAAAAAATTTCTGATCAGCTCAAAAACATCAGGAACTTGATAATTATAGCTATCGAAATTTTATAATGCTTCGCTGCTCATTAGAGTCTTTCTGTAATTTACCAAATTATGAAACTTTCTCACACCAACATTCGAAAAAAAACTAGCTATCATCAATATTATTTGTGTCCGAAAACATGTGGACACTTGTTGATTAGGTAATTAATGAGTGGTATATCATAAACATGGTAGAATTTTTTCCTGCTTGTAGAGCTCTTCCTAATATAGTGGACTCGATTTTCGGCTCATTTGGCAGGAAGTACCATGTGTCACAAAATTGTTGATTTTATTTGTACCACATTTTTTCTTTTCGACAAAAAATTAAAAAAGATTACCAGTTACTCAATTTTTAAAATTCGATCTCCTCTTTTATGGAAATATCTATCGATTAATAAAAGAATATGCTCCTCATACGGGATGCTAAAAGTTAAGTATTTACCATCACTAGGCCGAGAGTTTTATGTTGTGTGCTGACACGATTTTTTCAAGACTACAACTGCAATCGTTTCGAAGACAAAGTTTTAAAGTAATGCTTGGTGATGTTTTTAGATCTACATAGGGCACTACAAAAGTTTTTTTGTCCGGCTCTCTTAAAAGACTTGGCCAAGAACTAACTATACCACTATAATGTCCAGACATATTTAGGATTATGCGCAAAATTTCAGACTTCTAAGTCTTGCGCTTTGTTGTAGTCAATCGTTTCCTTTGTACTAGGTATACGTGATTCCCAATATAACACATAATGGGTTTAATGATCAAGTTTTATGTATCAATTTTTAATCTTTTAATAAGTTGTATTAGTAAAACAAAACACATCACATGATGCAGCGTGTGAAGCTCTACAGTTTGCAAAGGATCACTTTCTTGATAGTTGCACGTTTTGCTTTCAAAATGGACAAAGTTTTCAGCGACCAAATTTCGACGGTGCGAAAAAATAACACGAACCAGAAATTTCTTTTTTTCTTGTTTAATGTTTTTATTGGCTATGCAGATTGTACAGCTTTTCATGCTGCGTCTTGCCACATATTTTGTTTTTATTTACAAAAAGATATTAGGTGGTAAAAAGATGAAAGAAGAAAAATAGTAGCGTATTCTGTGAAAAAAATATAATTATTGCATGACCGGAATGTGATTAATAAAAATTTTGTCCATGTTGAAAGCGAAACGTGCAACTATAAAAAGAAGTGCTCATGGATAAATTGTAGAACTTCACACGCTGCATCTTGTAATCTAGTGTGTTTATATAATACAACTATTAAAAGATGGAAAACTGACAAACAAATTGCAACTGTGTAATCTACATCACTGATACAAAAAGAAATGATAAACTACAACAAAGCACAAGACTTCGAAGTCTGAAATTTTGCACATAACCCTAAATATGTCTAGACATTACAGCGGTATAGTTAATTCTTGGCTAAATCTTTTAAGAGAGCCGGACAAAAAAACTTTTGTAGTGCCCCATGTACATATGTCTTATAGTGAAAAACATATTATCGAAATTCAATGATCAGTTTCTTATTAATACTTAAGAGATGCATTTAAGTTCTTGAATAAATACTTATGACTTGAAGTCAAATCGTAAACGAATCAGATTTGAGAATGCTAGATTTCACAATGATCTCATATGGTTTGTTTATTATATGTTAACGTTATGCGATCTTGATATGCTCGTATACAAAAAGAAAATAAGATGTTACAACCATGATCACGGTTTGAAAACATGCAAACGTTCTTTGATTGGCTTGTTGCAATTTCGAACCGGACAGGTGTCGTTACAAGTTGTTGAACATTGGTCACAACATGCTAAATGATTACATCCAACAAAGAGAACACATCGTTCGTTAATATTACACATGACACATGATCCATAATTGACAATAATCTGTTGCTCTTGTGTTATTCGGTTGATAGAAGACATTTCGTGATCTGTAGAGTAATGGAAAAAATTCTCTGAATTTTTTTAATGATAATAACACCAAAATACCTATTAAAGATTGTGAACTATCAGAATGGTGATTCAATACGCGTTGGTCAGTGGTTATATGTACTTCACAGAGCTCTTCTGATCCTTGCGAGTCTGATTGTGCTTGTCCTTCCATATTGCGTTAGTCTTTCAGTTATGCAAATTGAAAAACAAAGAAATATTCATCTTTTTTGCGCATAAATATTTCTCATTCTTTTACTACCGAATTGACATATGGATATTATGATTCATTTTTGCGTCTTTTTCCTTTTTTTTGCATTGCATGTGTACTTTGTTATATTCACAGAAAACATTTGCTCCTGGTTGTAGGAAGAGTATAGCGTAACATGGTCATAAAGCTATATTACAGCTTAAAAACAACGAAAACAGATGTCCTATCTTTAGTGGATGGGTATGGGTATGTGTTGGTGAGAGTGAGGATTAGAGCAAAGATGTCAATGGATGTAGGTGCGTGGATAAAAGTTCAAAATATCATTCCAAAAATGTGCTCGCCTTTTTGGATCTTGAAAAAATTTCCGTCGGTGCAAATGTTATTGATGAAAATGTTTCCGAAAAATAATCCTTAATGATATGATCCTCTGACAAAATAAGCATCACTATCAAAATGTCCTCTCAGCAAGATACAAGCAATGCTTCGTGATAATGTTCAGGTTTGATGTGTATATGGATGTATATATAAGTATTTCTGTCAGTTAGCGTAAATATATATATACGATCGTGGATGGATGTGAGGATCCTCTCTTCATTCAGGCGGACACATGTTAATAAAACGCTCGTTCGTTCTTACTAGATTCATTTCATATAGAAATGAATACTCTAAAAAAGACTTGAATATTTGTCGCGGTATGTTTGGGTTACAGCATCATCTACCTTCCAGTAATATGATATATAAAAAAACAAACAATTGCAGATGAGGAGCATTGTTACTCAAGAGATCGTTTCTCAAGAGTACCTTATCTGAACGACATTTTCGAAAGACATTTGGGACTGAATTTGATGTACTTGTGACTGTGAGTTTTTTTACGAGCATCTACGCCCACGTCCATACTCACACTCAATGGGTGTAAGTGTCTTATTAGGATGTCCCAGGGCAAAGTTGAGACTGAATGGAGAACAAAAACTTTGTATTATTTCAGCCTTTGCAATATACCATTTGTGGCGCATTGAATAAGTCATTTAGAGAAAGAGAGAACGATTTTATTGACGTCCATGCCTACTCTATTTTTTTTGTAGAAAGTTGGTATGCTTACGTGACGAACACTTGTACAGCTGCTTTTATTTGCGCAGGAAAGACTCGGTAAGACAAGAGGGAATGGCGCACTTTTTTTCACTATCAATAGTGGTTTTTTTCCAACTTCCAAGACAAACAGCAAAGAGTCAATACTCAGGTGAAGCGATGTTGAATCGACAAAGGATATAAGCATGAGAATTTTATAGAAAAAGGGTTACGTATTTTTGAGAACAAACCCGACTCAAACTGTTCAAAAGATAGGAAAGCACCTATTAACGGGTGGATTTGAGTGTGGCTGTGAGTGTGAGTCTGCACGTAAGTGTTGGTGAAAACGTCGGTTTGTTCACCGTCTGGTACTTCTCTTCATGTATGCTACCAATCACGTTCATACCAAAACACTTACAAGCACACCGAAATCTACTAGCGGTCACACACACTACAACAACACGCAAACACCCTGATCCAAGAGATCGACACTACACTTCCATACCCAACATCATACACAGTATACGTACACCCACACAGGAAATCACAGACATGCTCACGTACAACTCCATAACCAAAAGCCTACCGATAATATATTTGCACCTACACCCCACATATATACTGTATCTACATATATACCTTATACAGAGAGCTAGATCCACTCCACATCCACTCTCACCCTCACCGAAATCTACCTTACACCACACTAGTGCACACATTATTACATTGATAGCCCACATCAACATATCAACCTTGTGCCTCAAGACGTTTACATCTAGACTGTACGCATATTGACAGCACAATCTACGTACCAAATCGGTCTGTCCATCAACATCAACACGAAAACACTCACTCAAATTCATCCACCGCCGTACACACATCAAAACACTCACATCGTATATTCACAGTCACACCAATAACTACAAGCATACAAACAACCACCGACGATTCACGCGTCACACATACCCCGAATCAACAGTGACACCACACCCAAAAGCCCAGATGGATATCCATATTCACACCTTGAGTGAAATCTAAGTAGAAAAAAAATTGACTGAACGAGGCAGATAACAAGAATATCTGATTAGTTAAAAGTACACCCAGACAGACAAGAAAGCGAGAAAAACGGTGTTTAAACGTCATGAGTTTCAATTGTTTAAACAGCGTGGTATGTTTCCAAAAATACGTTTAAACTACTGAAAAAGTATTTGTTTGTTTAACACGTTTTCTCCGTTTAAACGGATCAATTTTAAATGTCTGCAACTATTTAAATGTGTTCTTCGGATACCTGAACTAGTTGTAACAATTTGAATGGCTGTGGACAGATTAGCATGATTGTGGATGCCAGTATCCGTGAGGCTCCTCTGTTTAGCCACAACTAAATCGACAACAACAACACCCAAACCTATCCACGCCCATACCCGTAAAAACCAATACCTAAGCTCATGCACACCACAGCACTACAGTTACAAAACACACTCTCAGCCATCTCTACACCACCGCACACCCACAAGCACCCAAATCCACCAACACATGCCCACACCCACGTCGAACAAGCACGGTCGTAAACGATCGTATACGGAGAAAAATACGTTCGTTGACGATCTTCGTGCACGAAGTCCGCTACGGACTCTGTAAACCTCGTCCTGAGCACTCTCATAAGGATACAGGTATACCTGTGCCCTTGTCCCTATATCCTTACATCTATGCTCATCTATCTCTACCATTACCTTTTAAGTCTTATATTTCTGCTCTTACGCTTATACTTATATCTTTAATCCTAAAACATTATATCTGTACTCTTATAACTAGATCCTAATTCTAAAACCTAACACACATATCTTTATCTTGACATCATTAAACTTACGTCCTGCTCCCCAACTGAAATATCTTTAACTTTATAAATCTGTATAGTGTAACTAATATAATCTTACACATATACTGTTAGTCCTAGACCGTTATACCTATAGCTTTATCTCTATATATACCTACACCTTTGTCCTTATTCTTATACTCTTATGCCCATATACTTACCCGTATACTCTTGTAACTACACCATTATATTTATAGCTTATACCTATATATCGATACTGATATCCTTATGTTCATGCCACTGTCGCTTTACTCTTAGACCTGTACTCTATTAAATAAATTTTTATACAAGTTATTGTTTTTTTTCCTGATAATAATCTGAATTTTTTTTTGGAAGAAAATCAACATCTCTATGGAACAATGTAAATGTGCCATCTATCGTTATGACCGTCATCTATCATTTAATTTAGGAAATTCCATAAGGATGACTGTCATCTATCTAAAAGAATCTTTTGATTAATAAGTAGAAAAATGCAAATATTTTTCTAAAAAAATGATCTGCAAAATATTCTCTTTTTTTCTATAATCTCGACTCAACTTTATTATCCCAGGTCAATTATGGCCGGCCGCATACGGCCGTACATCAACCAATTACGGCGGAAACGGCGACTATTTTCTGTAGCCATTTACATCAATTTTAAACGAGGCTTTACGGGTGTGGGTGTGGGTGTGGGTGTGGGTGTGGGGTGTGGGGTGTGAGGTGTGGGTGTGGGTGGATGTGGGTGTGGGTGTGGGTGTGGATGTGGGTGTAGGTGTGAGTGTGGGTGTGGGTGTGGGTGTGGGGTGTGAGGTGTGGGTGTGGGTGGATGTGGGTGTGGGTGTGGGTGTGGATGTGGGTGTAGGTGTGAGTGTGGGTGTGGGTATGGGTATGGGTGTAGGTGTGAGTGTGGGTGTGGGTGTGGGTGTGGGTATGGGTGTAGGTCGGCTTGTCCAAGCGTACCGCGATGACGTTTTGGCCGCAGTTCTATTAACTTTTCTCAACAATGAGGTTGCCTAGAAGACTCGTTCTTTCGGTGGAAGATGTACCTCTGTCTCCCCCACAACCTCTGAAAATATGAGCTCGTTTGAATGAGTCGTAGGAAAATTATAGCAAAAATAGATGACGTAACGCGATGATGAACAAGGGACAAAAAGTTGAGGGTGACATGATTGCAGTTTATTTTTCTGCGAATTTTCTATTGTTCCAAAAGGAACGTTCTATAGGCGTTTTGTAGCCGACTGTTTGAGGTATCCAACGGATAAAAAAGATTTTCAAACAGACTTCTTATTTTGAAGAGGGGTCGGTTTCATTAATGTAACGCGATGACGGTCCCGTAACGCGATGACGCTTATTTTTTTAATCAAATTTTTCGCTTTACTTGCTTTCGTTAGAAATGTAAATCTGTAAAGACAAAAGAGTATTTTACTTGAACCTATATCATAAAAGAGTGTTGAATATTTGATTTATCAATAAGTTCTGCATAGAAAAATAACAAAAAATAAATTAAATACATCAATATAATAACTGATATGTGGATACAGTAAAAAATTTTAAAGTTTAAAAATTTCAATACATACATAAAACGCTATCAATATGAGATAATACAAAATGAGGGCATACAATACAAACTAACTACTCTACATATACAACAATCTTATTTGCGTTACATAGATGTTGATGAGATATAGGTTTACTATGTCAAATAACGTGGCACTTAATCAAATGAAAAACGATATATATATACAATTTGTTCTAATTTAAAAATCGATAAGTTTTTTTTGTTGAACTGTTCGAATAATATTTATATTCAATTGTATTATTTTGAAGTACTTTCACTGAATGAATTTTTTTTGTTTCTGGTACTGTCTTTATTGATTGAAAAATTTTTTCCATTTTTACCTTTGAATTTTCAATATGAATATCTTCTAATTCAATAACATTGATACTATCTGTTTTGGATTGAGCAATTTTTACAAATTGAGCTGCTGAACTACATTGTTGTCCACTAAGTATTGCTCTATAAACAAGACGTTTAATTGTACCTCCC